AATAAAAACAAAAGGTACAACTTCAAAAGCAAGATTAAAGTGTCTTCTTGAATAAGTAGATCTAAAACAACACTCGATGAGAAAGTCAGGTACATAACATAATAAATCTCCTCTTGTGATTCTAACAACGATTGAAACTTCCATCTTAAAGGGTTGCACGACTTTTATCTCCTTGAAAAAGAAACGAACTGTCATTTCAGCGACGCTTAAACCTTATCACTTAAAGATTTAATATCCTTCACGAGACGATCGAAATTAGAGTAAGATGATCCACCTTCCATCAAACAATTCTTAGCTAATTTAGACATATGATTTGCTCTTCCCAAAAACTCTTCTTTTCTCAATACCATCAAATCCTTCACCATTTTCTCAACAATTTCTCTATCACATGTATCCTTCATGTCAAGCCCAATTCCCCAAACTTTTTCAACAAATCTACTATTCACTTGTTGGTCAAAAAAATAAGGCCAACAAATCATGGGCTTCCCCTCATAAACGCTCTCGAGAATCGAATTCCATCCACAATGAGTCCAAAATCCACCTACTGCGGGATGGGCCAATACTTCTTCTTGTGGAGCCCACTCCACTATATATCCCCTTTCTTTCGTCCCCGTTGCTAAATCCACCGGAATCTTTGATCTCCATTCTTCTCCGGCGATGGAATCGGGTCGGATTACCCACAAAAATTTCTGCCCACTGTTAACCAATCCGTACCAAAATTCGATCAATTGATCGTTCGTCATTGTCGCGATACTCCCAAAACTAACGTAAATTACTGAATTGGGTAGCTGATTGTTGAGCCAATCGATGCAAGTTCTGTCTTCTGCCCACAAACTGTTTGATGATGGTCGCAATGTAGTTTGTTTCTTCTTTAAATGCGCGTGGAGCGGTCCAATTGGGTAGAGATTTGGGCAAATTGTTCGCATTTGATTGAGTATGGGTTCATCTAATTCTTCGAATGTGTTGAGTATTAAGCCATGAGCTCGTGAATTTTCTTGACCCTCTGTTTTGTAGAGCTGGATATTTGAATCTGTTAAGTCGCCGGAGCGGCAAAAACTCGGTAGATCACGTCGCCGGAGAAATGTTTCAGCTCCCGGAACACTTTTAATTGGTTCATCCAAGTTATCATCTGCAGATATTTGAAATTGAAGAATTAGAAGATTGTGTAAACTTGGAGAAATCATAAGTTATGATCTATTAGAGTCGAGTCGTGAAATCGGTTATTGATACTTGAATTAGAATAGGCGAAATGTTGCTAACTATGTTACTTCACATTGAGGTGTGACCTTTCTTCAAATCTTGTGTGAACGTGGAATGCTATATACACCGAGTGTCTCCTAGCTCCACACCAGGTGTGAAAAATGTAATTCTAGCTCATCATCTCAAAAGTAGAATAAATTTCAAGATTAACATAACATGTACTCAACTGATAATGCTAATGCAAATATATATGCCAACCGACTTTCAAAAAAAGAGTAGAAGAATGAAATCTATTATGGGACGGACATAACAGATCATTAAGCTTCAACCGAGTTAGGGCTTCTTTGTTGCCAACCATACCTGATAACGGTGTGAGAAGGCGTAAACAGACCAAGAGCCATAGTAACAAAAGACTATCCATTTAAGAAATCACTAAAATTTCAATAAATACTAAATTTCAATAGTAAATAAGTTCAATATCAAATAACGTTACATAGACGGACATAAAATTCTAGCAATAACACAAATCTTAAGCTACAACACTCGAAAGAATAATATCATGAATTATAAGTGGATCTTAACAAATTTCCCATCAAAATAATAATACGATTGCAAACAAATTTGTCATGAATCATGAGTGGATCTTAACATACAGATCATTACACTTCAACCGAGTTAGGCCTTTTTCATTACCAACCATACCCGATAACGGTGTGAGAAGGCGAAAAGAGACCAAGAGCCACAGTAACAAAAAGGCCATCCATTCAAAAAATCACTAAAATTTCAACAAATACTAAATTTTGAATCTAAAATCTCAATACTAAATGAGTTCAATATCAATAACTTTACACAAACGAACATAAAATTCTGGCAATTACACAAATTCTAAGCTACAACACGCAAAAGAATGATATCATGAATCATGAGTGAATCTTAACATACAGATCATTACACTTCAACCGAGTTAGGCCTTCTTCGTTACCAACCATACCTAATAACGGTATGAGAAGGCGAAAAGAGACCAAGAGCCATAGTAACAAAAAGGCCATCCATTCAAAAAAATCACTAAAATTTCAACAAATACTAAATTTTGAATCTAAAATCTCAATACTAAATGAGTTCAATATCAATAACTTTACATAAACGGACATAAAATTCTAGCAATTACACAAATCCTAAGCTACAACAATGATATCATGAATCATGAGCGAATCTTAACAAATTTCCCCATCAAAGCACTAATACAACTACAAACATCATCCCTAAAGTACTTAAAATCACAAACAAGAGCGTGGTTACATACAAACCTGACATATAAGATAACAATAATCGTTTTCAAGACGATCAACCAACACTAACTATACTCATAACAAATTTGCATTATTCAAGTTCAATAAGTTCAAACAATCATATACTAACCTTCGAAAGGATATTCTCCGGATTCAATGAGTTTAGGAAGGCAAAAGAAGATCCAAAGACAACACGGACTAATAGTTCGAACACAAAAAATAGGTACACTAATCTCATCAGCAACATCACAAGTAAATCCCAAAACTCCATCAGCTATAATACAACTAACTCGTCGTCTTTCTTTCCCATCAAGATCAAAACAGAGCAAATCAGAAGTCAACATATCTTTAAACAGAGTCTTTGTTTTAGTCCTCAAAGAGTCAAAAACCTCTAAAAACTTTCCTCCATCTCGAGGATGATCATCTGGTAGTCCATCTGATATCGTCTTGATTTGAAAACCAGGACATTGATCAAATCTTGAAGTTATATCGGTGTGAAGAACGAGACGATTGTGAATGTTTTCAGTGAGAAGGATGGTGATATGTAAGCCTGAAAAACAGAGGAGTTCAGCAAGTTTGAACATTGAGTTTACAGGGCCTTGTAATGGTAAAGGGAAAATGAGTACATGAGGAGGAAGTGATTCTTGTTCATCCATGGTAGGCTAATGTTGAAGAGTTTCAATAATGGTGATCTTGTTATACAAAAATTTGGAACTTATTGACTAGCTAGAGTTCATCCAAATAATTTACACCTTTGAAAACGCTCATTTACTTAATTAATTAAACTTAGATACATTTCTGATCTGTTATATGACATAGCAAGTGATTTCAAACACTTGTAAAAGCATGACGAAAACACGCCTAAATTTTGTGAGAATTTAATAGTGTATTTCACTCATGTTATAAGATTGAGAGTGTATCAAGTTCAGTTAGTCAAGAAAAATGAGTATTAAACTAATAATTCATGCCGAGTTTAAAAGTGTTTTCAATTCTTCTCCTTTAAATAAAAATATGTAGAATATATCAAAATATTTTTTAATGTTGTAATCTTAAACCTGTAACATAAAATAAAGTAAAATAAAATAAATAAATTAAAATGGAAGTATTTGTCAAGTTGATAGAGTTAAGAAATATTATTTGCCGAGTTTAAAAGTGTTTTCAATTCTTCTCCTTTAAATAAAAATATGTAGAATATATCAAAATATTTTTTAATGTTGTAATCTTAAACCTGTAACATAAAATAAAGTAAAATAAAATAAAAAAATTAAAATGGAAGTATTTGTCAAGTTGATAGAGTTAAGAAATATTATTTCTGTTTTTTCAAATATAATAATGTGATGTTAATTAATTAGTGCTTCTTTTTCATTGGAAAGGGAGTAGGCAGGGGTAGGTAGTGAAATCGAACTTTGATACTACTATTATTAATAAAAAAAAATTATTCTCTAAGTGGCTATATGATTTTTTAAATATATCTTTTCTGTGTTTGCACCATTATTTCTATCGCCAATTCGCCAAATCACTTTTTCTAACAAAGATCTCTATGCAGATACATATGCATTCAAATAAAATAATTAAATATTATTTTTCTGTTTCAATTTGTTAACACATTTTTCTTTTTTAGTCAATCTTGAACAATAGCGGTAAAAAGAGCAAGGATAAACCCAAAAAAAGAAAAATTAAAAATTGTGGGGAATGATTAAATTTACTTTTAAACGATGTGAAATAGTTTAAATTGACCATAAATTATGCGAAAAGTTCAAACTTTACCCTTCGTTTAAAAATATTTAAAAATAAGGGAAAATTTGATCCCGACTTGTAAAGATGAGTGCGTATTTAACTTAACTATTAACGGAGGACAAATCTATTCCATTTTTAAGGAGCAAATATAACCATTTTCCATTATAACGTATTAAGAATCTAAACTACAAATCACATCCTCCAAAGCGTACTAAATACTTCTCTTTGAAATATCGCAGACCCTTCCACTTAAACAAGTGTAGGGGATATGAAAGTCATTTTACAAGATATAAATAATCATAAACGGATTCAAGTTAATATTATAATAATAACTAAATTCACAGTCTCCATACCGTTCAGCTTTTATATACCCATAGTCCACATAAGATTTCATAAGAGTAATAATTACATGTAATGATCTATAATAAGTGAAATTAATTAAGAAAAACCTACTTGATCAAGTAAAATAACATTGATAGCGTAAATTTTTTTTATATTATCAGAGTATATTATACAATTATACAACCCTAGTAAGTTCACTATCAAACCAAAGTTACTGAGATGTGTATGTATATATGAAAACACTTTACACAAAAAAAAAACCATATCCTATGATTCTCTATGTACAAAAATGATCACAGAATATTAATACATATCTACTACATATATATGTTAATTAGACTCTCCAAAAATGTACTTTTAGAGGAACAAACACGCACACATGACACGCTGAGCATGTTTTGAAGAGTCAGATCAACATAGATATACTATTTACAAGTCTTCCCCTGCCTCAATACTAGTCCTCTGAATCTTCATCAATAGCAACAATTTTGGCAGCACCTTTTATAGCAGTTATAAATCTAGGATTATTAACATGATGAATAATATTCTTGGATTCAAGCCTTGAATTCTTGTTTATATCATCATCATCACTAATAATTTCTTGATCATCATCTTTTTTCATGTCACTAGGTGGTAAAAAACAATCCAAAGATAGTCCCTTTATGTTAAAATCAACTTCTTCAATTGTCCAAACTTCTTCCATCCTAGTCCTTGTATGTCCTTCTGAGTTTTCGCCGAATCTGAATAAGGAAACACATGTCTTGCCAGCATGTGCTATGTTAACACCATCGATTGTTCGATATTCTTGGATTAATGACTCCATTGTTGTTTCCCAAAAGACATCATCTTTTGGAGATTTTAGTCTTAGAAGATGTGAATCTTCAAGTTGGACTAATAGTCCTGTTCTTTGGCTAAAATAGCCCCAAACAGTATGTCTCATAATTTCAACATTGCTACTACTTCTTGCTTTTAGAGATGAGGGATCTGCTTCAAATTTTAGTACAAAGCAATCTTCACCATGCACTGGCTTTTCGCCTATGCAGATTGAATCGGAGAACATATCAGCAGTAGACCTTGGATCAAGACCCTGTCAACATGATCAATCGACATAATCAGACGTTGTTGAACACATGGTATCAGAGCAGATACAGACTTTAACATGGTATCAGAGCAGATACAGACATATGACATGTTGATGACATAATTAAGTAAATAAAAGTGTCATTTTATGCCAATTCACAACTAGTATCCACATAAACAGAGAACCATATTATTCATTCAACAACTATTTTCTTTTTCCAATTTAGTGGCTCATAGTTGAGTAAATATGTCATTTTCACTGGTGCTGACTTTTTTTTTTGGGATCCGTGCTAGTTTTCGCATCAACTTGCCTATAGAACAACTTGAAGGGGTCAAGTTGTGAATGAGATTTCGAGTTTATTCAAGCCATGTGACACACAAGTGACAAGACTAAGAAGTGTGTACATTCACAAAATTGTCAATTGAACCTAACTACTAGTACTCGAGGTTGTGTCCTAAAATCCAGAACTCATAAGGTTCAAATCCCGACTCTAATTTTGCTTGAAAGGGTCAAGTTGTGAATGAGATTTTAAGTTTATTCGAGTCATGTGACGCACAACCTAGCCTCTTGATAAGTAAGACTTTGACAAAAAAATAAATAAAGGAAGGACTCCAAATAACATTAATGTTGACTTCTTGACAACAACTTTTTTTCAAAGGCTAAGAAGTGTGTATATTCACCAAATTGTCAATTGGACCACTTATCTAATCAATTTTATTGATAAGATAAAATGACATCCTAGGTCCACATTAGGTGTGACATGACCATATGTTTGTGATACGTGTGAGTTCAATTCTTATTGTCTGAATTGAAAAAAGTACCTGTAAGGAACGACGAAGAGGCCTAGCAGGGCCACGAGATGCGTGAGAATGATGCCATGGAGTTTGTCTCCAAGACACCTTACCATCACTTCCAGCACTGATTTTACATCCTGAAACTACAAGCTCAATGCTCCAAAGATCAGGTCTTTTTTGCCACAACACAAATCCTCCCATTTCCCCTGTCCCATTTTTCGCGGTTTTGATCTTCATTACTTTGCCATTGTTCAATCCTAGACCATCTCCTTCAATAAATTCAGACGCAATCATCTTCACCTTCCCCATCGCGTACATACTATTGATTGAATTCAAAGCATGTTCTCCTCCCGCGGCAGCTATATATTGTTGTACTATATATTTTGCCATCGAAGCCTCCTGTATAAATGTATCAACCATTGATTAAGTGAACAAATAAAGTATCTCGAGAACTCTATAAAGATTGAATTAGGTTTCATTGTCTTAATAAGCAAATCCATACATAAATTTCATTGTAAATTTATTTCCATTTGTTTAAGTACAAGAGCCTAGAGTTGGTAAGAGGTAAAAAGTGGTACCTAATAAACTAGTTCAAGTATATGCAATCTCACCAAACACAAAGTTTCATCTACTTGTCTAGTCAAGAACTTGTATCTAAAGGCACACAAAAATATATTACTGTTCCCTCTGTTTCAATTTATGTGACATTATTTTCTTATTTATCCTTCTTCTGATTCAGTTTATGTGAACTATTTCTTATTATTCCTTTCTTAAATAATTGATACATTTTTATATTTAAAAATAATTAACCTTACACTTCAACTTTTTTAACTTTAATTACTCTAAAACCTTTATATCCCCAGAAATGTTATGATATGTTTGAGTTCACGAGCATCTCAAAAATTTCACTTTTTTTACTTAAATTATCTACCGAGTTGAACTCACATAAACTGAAACAGAGGGAGTTTCCTATAACACACACACAAAAAAAAGTTCCGTTCATATATTGTTTGTCTTTCGGATGATTCCTCTAGTTATTATTTCTCAGAAAGTCACAATTTCTTGATCTTTTTCAATTTTATTCAACAAATAAACCGACTTTTCTGACATAATAACTATTAATTGAGTGACCATATGAGAAATCAACTCTATCACACTAACACATATTCTTGATTACTAAGTACTATACGTGGCACCTCTGGTATTTCGAGACTCAAACAAGTCTTTCTTTCTTTGACTATTTGACTCTCGAAATCCGACCCGTACCATATAAATTATGCAGTACCAAAGAAGTTAGAGAGAATTGTAAAAAGAACTTACAATAGGATGATCATTAATCTTCTTATTAAGAGAATGCTTGTTGCATTTAATAGGATGAGGAATCAATGGAGCAGCAACAACACCAAGCAATAGTTGAATCTCAGCATTTCTTCCACCAATTACTGAAACAGCACTTGATTTATAATAATAATTATCATGATGATGATGATGATTATTACCACTATGAGATTTAATCCAAGATTTCATATTTTGCCATGACTTAACATGATTCTTATGTGATGAATTAACAAACATTTCTTCTGGAATTGGTACTTCAAGTACCGTTTCCAGACCATCTTCGTTATCCAAATTAGGACACAACGTTCTCATTTGTTAACTCGATATCAAATTTGAAATAAATAAGCTTTGAGCTTATGAATATTGGAGATTTTGGATATGAAAGAATAGAAGAAAGAAGAGAGAAAGTAATAATAATACAAATGTATGTAATGTATTATTGGAATTATATTACAAAGTTTTTTTTTTGAATAATACAGAGAACCAACCGACCAATGAGGAGTCATCCACACACAACGTGCATTTCTTTGTCTAATATTGTCGTGACAGCACGAATTTATTTATTTTGTTTATTTTTTTCTGTTTGGAGTTTTTTTTTAAAAATAATAATAATTATATAATGTACTTTTTGTTGTATATTTTTGACTAGTGGTTGAAAAATATGTTAGGAGTGAATTTTAGTTAGGAGACTTATGAGTTTTTCTTTTTGTGAAAGCATGGATTGCGCCTTAATGGATTCCTAACTCCACGGCTTAACTATCATATGAATCGCGGAATAATTTTTAACGGCAATAAATATGTAAATAGTAAAATTTTTATTGGTATTAGTTAATTGTTATTGGATCGAATGTTGCTATAGAGTTTAGGAACATTTATAAAGAATGTTAAATGTTACTAAAAGGGCATATTTAGTGGCAATTAAGTTATTGTCATTAATTAATTGTCGCCAAAGATCGTTTTTGGTGTAGTAGATCATCAGAACAAAAATAATTTTTTTTAATGGCAATAAATATGTATATTACTCCCTCCACATTTCATATTAATTGAATTTTTGAGGTGTTTCACACCCTTTAAGAAAAGTAGATTAAGACATAAATTGAACATAGTTTTCCATTTTTATCCTTATTAATTATTGTCAAATTTATTGAAGTCATCACATTGAAAATCCAAATGAAGGATAAAATTGGAAGAACACTCTAAAAAAGTCTTGAAAAATGAACAATTAAGTTAATTTAAAAAATGGAAAATGCCTCAAAAATTCAATTAATATGGAATGGAGGGAGTAATAAAGAGTGTTAAAGTTTCCATTGACATTAGTTATTTATCACTGAATTCAATGTGGTTATAGGCTTTGGAGACATTTACAAAATAATATTAATTATCACTTAAAAATATATATTTAATGGCAATTAAGTTATTATCGTTAATTAATTATTGCTAAAGATCATGTTTGGTGTACTGTGTTAAAGTGAAAATTATTAATACTTTCACATATAGTAAACATAAAATCATATTTGTATGTTATAGCTATAGTTTGCATAATTGCGCTCCATAGCAAATTTTATGTTTGCTATGGAGCTTTTGATTTGTATAATTCGCTACAAACATCCAATTTTATACAAATTGTTCAGTTTTGTATAAATTCATTTATACATTGTAATTTGTATAATAAGATCTGTATTTGTATAATTATAAGTGTATAGAACGAAAATTTGTATGTGTATATCCACTTTTCTCTCGGTTTATACAAACACAAACGCATTTTATACATTTTATACCTAAATGTATAAAATGACTAATTGTATATCGAATCAGATGGCAAAAAAAAAAAGATATTTGCTACAAATTACAATTAAAATAAACTATGACTATAACATTTAATTTGAATTAATAGTTTGTTATTTCATATAATTTTCCCAAATTATTATCTTTATCTCACTTACTAGACGATGAAACATACATAGTTGTAGGTTTCAAACTTAACCAATCCGATCAGACACTCATAATGTAATCTTTTAATTTAAAATTTGTCATCATCTTCTTCTTCTTTTCAATCATAACTAATAATTATACTAACACATGACAGGCTAATAAAATCTTTCCATAATCCAATTTCTTTTTCCCTTTCGAATAATGTTTATGGTTTGCTGTTTAACAGGCATAGAGATTTTGGCTTGTTCTCAATATTTATCCACCCTTCACTAATCGCCTATGCACTATGATTATAATTAGTCGCAGGGCGGATTCAGAATTTAAATTTATATTATCGAATAAATATTTATGATTTTTAACATAATCGTAAAATAATAACAATCAAGTTATTAGTTTATATTTGTTATCTATTGTAATTTTCATTTATAAATTTATATTTTACGATTTAGATGAATCTGATATTAATATTTTGTATTCGTCTCTATTAAAATTATTATAGACTATGGTACTTAAATTGACTTAAAAAAAGACCTCAATCATGTCATGCACGTTCACACACGAATCCAATCCATTTTAGTAATTGCCAACACTAACAGGATTTGTAGAGATTTACATTAATAAAAATTAGATTTATCACCAACTACTTGGAATTAATTAGAATCAATAAATTCATATTGTTATATTTTATTATAAACAATAATAATAATAATAATAATAATAATAATAATTGTCTTTCAATATCTAATTAAAAGGGTGCTAATAAAGTCTTTATTCTAAGCACCCAAACTTTTGAGACCTTAACGGAATAATAAGACTATCTGATTGTAATTGATAGATAGAAAATATTCACCGATTATTTTCACAAATATATTAATTGAACTGATGAGGAAAGAACAAATAATAGTGTTTTCACATGAAATTTTTTTAGCGAAAATTTGTTTCTCAACATGTGTTTTCCTAGTGAGCTAATTTGATGAGAAATGAATGCAAAAATTATATTTTATAGCATAATTTTTTTTTTACCTCGATTTCTAATAATAATTGAGTGACCTTTAATAGTTCATCTAACTAAAATCAATAGATATAACTTCATTAATTAACAACTAGCTAATATGGCCACTTGAAAACATGTGCAAACAAACATCTTTTCAAAATTTGAAATAAAAGTGTCTTGGTAAAAATACACTTTATCATGTGTTCCGATATTTAATTCGAACAATCCATATTTCGAGTATCAGAATAAAACTTATTGACACTTTAAGAAATTGACTATGTATTAAGCCTTACTTTTAACATACTAAAATAGTTTAAACTATAATACTATATATAAGTAACTTATAAGTTATAATCCAAATTCATAAATTCTTAGACAACCTGAGAACTAAAGTTTCTTGTTCAAGTAGTTTCTTCAATGAGAACAAAGTGTTTGCCAAGTTCACTTAATGTACTCAATTTCACTTCACTTGCAAAGAAAACTAGTGTTTCAAAAGTTAGATATTTTACCATAACATGAAGTGACGTATTTCCTTTTTTGGCCTATACTATGGGTGTAGTTTCACTTTCTTACCTAAATTGAAAGACAATATATAAAGCCTATTCTTGCATAAAAAGGTAAGAAATGAAGGAAAAAATCCAAAAGGGACAAAATGAAAAATTATTGGGGGAGAAGAAATCAATATATCCATCCACTTCAATTTATATTATATTATGACATTTGACTAAATATAGAATTTAAATAATTAAAAAAATTAAAACTTGTGGTTTAAAAAACATTGTACTTTTTCCTTGTGTTCTCTTCTCTCCCTTAGTATCCAACCTAAAACAAAATAATTGAATGAAAAAGCGAATTTAGAATTTTGAAATTATGTGTTCTGAATTTTAGAATTTTAAGCTTACTAGGTTCAGGATTAACTATAAATATAGAATTTTGATTAAAATTATTGGTTCTACCGAACTTGTATCAATAGAATTCTAGTTTCGCTCTCAATGGTCCAAATAAAATAAACAAAATACTTTTTTAAAAAACAAAAATCATATTTATTTTGAAGTGTAGTTATGCCTTTAATTTGTTTAGTATTCTCAAGCAAAGTAGAAGGATATTTGAAACATAAAAAGAAAAAAAAGGTGATTTTGTTTGCTTAAAAGCAATGACACCATAGGAGTGTAAATCAAAGAAATTACACTTTAAGCTATGCCCAAAAGCTTGAAAGAGGAAAGGGACAAAAATAATATTTTGGGTCAACTTGGGTCAGTCGATTGTAAATAATCGATAAGTATTATATGTTTGATAAATATTTTTACGTGTGTAGTTATTTAATTGGATAAAAGAGTTGAAATTTATAATAAACACATGATGTGTTTGGTAAAAAATATATTGATAAATGTTTCTTTTAATAAAATGACTAACATACACTTAATTTATTTTCAAAAGAATAATTAACTTAAAAGTATATTTGTAAGGTATTTCGAGAATTAGAAAAAAAAAATATCAAGGATAAAATAATAAAAAATATTGGTCAAATTAAATTTATTAGCTGCAAAAAAATATAAATTGAGAATGATTAACTTATAATTTTTTGTTTGATTTTATAACTTCGAATATTTACCAAATATATAGATAAATCAAACTATACATATAAATTAATTTGACCAGCTTATAAACTTATCTAACTACCTTATTTGTACTTGTAATAAGTGGTTAACATAATTTGATTGAATTTTTATTTTATTTTTAAAAAATTATTCCAAGTGCATATATATACACTCCTAAGTGGAACTACTGTTTCATCTTATTTTATTTTTTTGGCTATAATAATATAATATTTTGCAATGATAAGGATGAATATTATAAACTTATCCATCTGTAAATATCAATATATGCCAACCCACAACATATCTACAAGGATTTCATTTTGTAGTTAAGAAATTTAAAGGGAGGATTTTATTCTGCAAATCTCATAGTGATCTTCCTATGGATGATACTCTCTAATTAAATACTTATAGAATAATTACAATTCTAAAAACTTCGACTAACTAGTTTATAAAATATATAAAATATATAAATAGTTTATACTTATACAAAATATGTATATAATATACGTGAAAATTGATGTTGTAGATTATTTACATTTTTTAAGCTTTATAATCTTTTTATAAGAGATTATTATTTTTATACATAAAGTCTAATATATAAGAAATTGATGATATGGGCTTCATATGTACAAGACTATGAAAAGTTTCATGAATAATTTTTTTGGTTTTCATGCATAGATTTGAAGGTTTTCCTATTGTATTGAGTAGGTGGAAAAAAAAATCTTCCGTTTCAATTTATGTGTCATTTTTTCATTTTGTGAGAGTCAATTGACTTTAACTTTACAGCTAAATTAGATTAGATCAACTAAATAATTT